CAACCTTAGCGGAAATAGTCCCTCGACTCTGATGATGACTTCTCTTACCTGTACAATCAGACCACCAGATCAAAAGAAAAGATAGACGTAACATAGACTTCATAATGATCTAAATCATGTACAAACTTGTACCTTAGCATTGACATATTTTCCTTTATCCTCTGAACTTTTAGTTTCGTCGAGTGACATTCTTGGCCACATTAACTGGCTCTTTATCAACTCGTCAGTAATTCTTACATCCTGATAGTCCATTGTGGTATCATATAAATCAATGCTGTACATCCTGTTGACTTGTATCACACCACTCACTAGACCTGCAAATCATAATTCTACACTTAACCTGTTAACTCCCAAGATCTGATCGTTAATTCTGCCTCTGCCTGCCAGCCATTTCCTTTTAAATTGCTTCCAACAACTTGGTGTTAGATCAAGATAACAACTTCTACCCGATAAGTTTGTGTATTCTCATTACCTCTTTGCTGGATAATATATGGATATTATAGGGAGAAGTTACATAATTCATTACTTCAGCGAGTTAAAGGGTTGAATAAAATACACAGTACTTTGACCTGCAGTTACCATAGAAGGAGGTTCATCCCACAGATTCAATCTGTGTTACAAGGATATGTTTGAACAGCCTGGTTTGACTGAAACACAACTTATTTCCTCACCAGTTTTGATTAACTTTACAGCCTTTTCTCTGATATTGTCCTGGTTCAGTTCTTTCAATTGGCCAACTAGTTTCTTTCTGTATGTTAAGTCATGAAGTAGTTGCACTGCGTCACTGGAAGACCAATAAGGGGGCTGACAACAGTTGCCATGGAAACCCTCAGGGTTGAATATATCACACATTCTGACAAGAAGTTTGATTGCACCAGCACTGACTACCTCTGTTTGACATGTTTTACTCTGAAAGGTGACAAGACGAAGCACTGCAACAGCCTGCTCATGAGCAAGAAATCTCCAGCATGCATCTTCTGCAGTGTCTGGTAAAATATAAATTAACCCTGATTAGAGAATCACGCTTATGAGGCAAAATTTATTTGAGATTGATTAAGCCCTTTTAACCCTTTAACTCCCAAGATCTGATTGTTAATTCTCCCCTCATGCTGCTGCTACACATTTCCTAGTAAATTGGTTACAGGAATTTTGTGTACGACCAAGCTAATATCTAGTAGCTGATGAGTTTGAGTATTCTCACTGCCTGTTTACTGAATAATGTTTGGATACTGTAGGGGAAGTTACCTGCTAATCACTTCTGGCTATTAGATATGCAGACCTGTATGGGATAATCCATCTCAGGTTACCAACTAGAACCTACATCTTTAAATCTTAACCTTTTCGCACCTAGATCTCATTACTAATTCTCCTTACTGTCTGCTGTACAATTCTTATGATATTAGTTTAGAGAATAAGGCATTGGATCAACTTATAATTCCCTTATAGATATTTTTCTATATTCTTATCGCTTGTCTGCTTGACATTGTATTGGTATTGTAAGGAGAAATTTTGTCTTGGTCACTCATGGAGGTGAAAGAGTTTGGTTCAGGACACCAACTTTTGTGCTACTGTATCTCTTCCAAACTCTTCATGTGCAGTTAAGTCAATATACATGAATCTGAAGTTTTGAAACCAGGGAAATATTTCAGCTCTAAAAGCCACGTCATTTGATTTTTTAGATAGTCTTGTCTACCAAAGAGAATGTTCCCAATGAGTGGACTCACCCTACCCTCTCAAGGGGCCATAGAAATTCCTCACTAGCTTTGCATGACACTAAGCAATAACTTTCCAAACCTCCACCCTCTCCTCCCTCCTTGACTTAGAATTCTCAATGATCTCCCAGTAATAGTTTGTCAGACAAAAATGTAAAAGAATCTGTGTAATTAGTTAAATGTCACAACACCTGTATCTTCAGGTGACAGTTCAGGATCACAAAGCTTCAACATTGGAGGAATTCCTCCACGTCCCACGATCTTAGCCTTCACTTTTGGGTTTCCATAAGCGAGAACTCTGAGGGCAGCTGCACAGTATGCACCAAGGCTCCAAGGAATGGTTCTTTTGTCACACAAACCTACAACGCACAATCTGACTGTTAATTCTGCTCTTTACCTGCTGTAAATGAGTTATGAGGATGTGCAGTTAGATCAAGATAATAACTTCAAACTGGTAAGTTTGAGTATTCTCATAACGTATTTATTAGATGATATATAGATATTGTAAGGAGAAGTTGCATGTTAATCACCTCTTACAACTGTGATTATCGGCAGGATTTCATGCCCTCATATGCCCTCTGGGAGGTGATGCCTGCAGCATCACGATCCGAGGCTATGCAGTCGAAAATCTTACTTTTTGCTAACTTGCTTGCAAACATGCACAACAAAAGCATGCAATTATTCAGTGAGCTATTGAATAAAATTCAGACCTTCGGAAAACCTTTGACCTTCATAGGACAACCGCAGCCACCAAATAACAGCTAATTTCTAAGATCCTAGCATTCATTCCAAGAAGACGTATTTATACACGGAAAACCGAGTTTGTATCTAGTTCATTTCCAAGTATAACCCATGCTTATCAAGCAGTAAACTACGCGGAGGTTACGCTTTGTACAAAGTTCTGTGTTTATTGATCTTTTTTCTTCCAGAACAATTATCAAGTTGTTTGAACACGCGCATGTATATACAAAAAAATATAAACAAAACTCTAGTTGCGCATTTAAAAGCTGGTAGCCATATTTTAAAACATCATTACTAACCCTAAGTAAAAGATCCTCCTTACCAATAATAAGCTCTACAGATCCTTCATCAACGAATTCTTGCTTTCTCTCGGGATTTTGCAAAGATTCTTTGATGATATCTTTCAAAGCTTCGATCGTGTCGCCGTTATTCCGCTTGGAAGGCGCCATGGTAGAATATCTCAGATGCTTAGCTAACTTTTCGTGTAACCAAAAAGAGGTAAGGTATGATCAAAAAAAATTCAGGCAAACAATCTTACAATTTCAATACAGTACTATAACCGAGTTGCTATTTTGCGCAAAAGTGCGCGCGAGCTGAACCATGTGTAGTCACAAGTCCCACAATACTTTGCGCGCGTTAACTACTCTTTCTTTCTCTCGTACTCGTCACTAAAGTTGTAGAGTTCTCGCCTCGAGCTAAGGCCTTGAATCCGCATCCATCGCTTTATCAAGGCAACCTACATCCGTATTTTTTGACAAAAAAGTAACGTTAGAAATTAAACTAAACGATGGCATCAACATCAGAACTTGCTTGCGTGTACAGTGCTCTCATTCTCCACGATGATGGAATCGCCATCACGGTACGTAATAATCAAAATGGCGGAATTGTTACAGGATAAGTATTGTTAATTTTAAGTGGCTGTGATGAACTTACACCTCTGACATATGATCGTAAAAGGGTGATTCCAATTTTTTTAATTCTGAGCCGCTTGTTTGTGAGTATATTAGAAAATTAGTTTCGAATCCAGATGTAAGAATTCTGTGACATGTTTCCAGTTTCCACGTGAATGCTGGTTTTTGATCGATTTATGCATCAATTCAAACCAAGTCTTTACGATTAATCAGTTCAGACATAATTCGGTACAAGGTTGTTCTTGGTTTCATATTTAAAGCATAAACATGGTAAGCACAATAATTTATTTTACGAAACTTTTTACCCTTTGACTCTATGTGTGACCAAGACAGAATTTCTCCTTTATGTCCATATAATATAGAGCAGAAAAGTGTCTGGAATAATGAAAAATATCTACTAGGGGGATTATTCAGGTATACTGAATATAGGGGGTAAGTTTCTTAAGAAACTGTGGTACTGCGTCAGTGGGAGAGTATAATCGCTCTGACGAAGGGCTATCACTTGAAATGTCAGCCTTTTAACCCTTAACGGTGGCCAAGTTACGTCTTCAACTCAGCTGTTAACGTTAAATTACCTGCTATTCAGGTATACTAGTTGATTTAATGCCAGATTCTCAATACTAAGATCATGAGAATTGTATGGCAGAATTGTAAGGAGAATTACTGATGAGATCTTTGGTGTGAAAGGGTTATATTAACACATATAATTTGTGAGGAGAAAAATGATGAGGAAGCACTGGCATTATTATTTTGCATGGTAAAGTTTAAATTTACAACTGGAGTTGCTATAGAAAGTTAATCTTGAAGCCCTGGCCACAGTTTAAACCTGGAAATCAGTACAATATTGCTTGACAGATAAAAATTATGCTTAGGATATGAAATGTATTCTTGCTTTAATATACTATATTCTTACTGTTACTCAACAGGCAGAAAAGATCGAAAAGTTGATTAAGGCTGCCAAAGTTGATGTAGAACCCTTCTGGCCAGGACTGTTTGCCAAAGCCTTGGAGGGACACAGTCTAGAAAGCCTTATCCAGAGTGCTGGTGCACCTGGTGCAGGAGGGGCTGCTGCCCCTGCTGCAGGAGGTGGTGGTGCTCCTGCTGCTGGTGGTGGAGATGAGGCTAAGGAAGAAGAAAAGAAGGAAGAGAAGAAAGATGAATCTGAGGAATCAGATGATGACATGGGATTTGGTGAGTTTAAACTCAGATTTAGGGAGCCTTTTTTTTAATAACTAATCAATGCTGGTAATATTACATCAGGTTATAATTGGTTAGAAGGATGTAATAGGGTCTATAGGGGTCCTGCAGTTCAATAATATCCTCTTCCAGGCCTCTGACAGTCATGGAATTTGTTTCGTTCATGGAAAATTAAAATGATTGAAAATGATGAGTTCAAGAAGTTAGTTGTAAAATACCTAAATATTTGATAATACAGTAGCTTTGTGGTGTAGAATTTATTATTTTTTTGAAATTTGTTGTGAAAAAACTACTGTATCATGTTGGTACATGAGCAATTTTCCCCTTTGAATTTTTCCTCCTCATTTGTTGGTATAGGATGAACTAACCTGCTCTTCTTTCTCTTCCAGGATTGTTTGACTGAGCAGATACTGTCACAGCAGCAAGAATTATGTTTAAATAAAAAGATACAACAGAAACAAATTGTGGTCTTGTTACTGAGTTTGTGTATTGATATCAATGTTTTGTTTGGTTAAAAAAAAATGGACTTGGGTTGTTTAAAATCTTATAGATTTGCCCTTGATATTGTTGCTTTTTGGTGCAGTTGTGTCTTCTCAGAGAGTTTTACTCTTCTTCCATTCCCTTGCATCTACTACATCTACTTAAACCAAGAATTCTTATTAGTGCAATACATTCTGCCATCTCTAACACCAACAAGATGTATCAAACTTATCTAAAATGCCTGTCCAAGAACTACGAACATTAATGCTCTATCTACAGACTGGAAATTTAAATGTAGAAAAGCCAGTTATTTTTGGTGGAATGCCTTCCAGTATATCAATCTTCTGGGATGAAATTCTCCAAGAATCTTCTCAAAATTCAACCAAACTCTCCTTCAGGCAATAGTTAAGCGTTGAATGTCATCAACAACTCTTCCCATCTGTGCTTCAAGGGTTTCATACTCGCTTATCAGAGTGTTAAGCGAGTCTAAACTAGTGTCAAATTGCGATACTTCCATGCCATCAACATGAGTGTAATGATGAACATGAGCTTTACGTTTGTAGAGCTTCATGAAGCGATCCTTGAGGTCCTGAAAAGTGTGCCTGATGCATGTATTGTTAGACAGAGCTAACAGTGAGTATGGATGACCTACAGGGGGAACAGAGCACAGTCCAGTTTTCCATCCCTCCTGATTCCAGTGAATAAAATTTAATGAAGGTTTGAGTCTTTCAATATTCCTCCTAATATCAGAAATTTCAACATTTCCTCTGAGCATCAAAGCACATGCCAAGTACAAGCTGTGTTTAGGATCAGCTTTGATGAGCTGGTGATCTTTTGAGAAAGCGTCTGTAAACATTTGATCAAGTCGTTGAGGTGGAAGATTTACATCAGTGAGGCTGTACAGTGGTGTCTGGCTGGAGACCAGGTAGTGGATCTTGGGAAATGGCACTAAATTCATGGTGATTTCATTCAAATCAACATTTAGGGAGCCTTCAAATCTGGCAGAGCTTGTCAAGTTCAGTATAAGATTTGCAGCAATGTTGTTCATGTTGTCAAATGGTTTCTCTGGTCTTTGGTCAACACCACCTTCACCTGATGTAACAGCACTGCTGGCCTTAACACGTGATTGGCTGCTTGAAGAGAAAACCTTCTTACCAGTCTTGGATGGTGGAAGGGCACTTGTAACTTTATTGCAAATGTCCACCAAAGCCTTTTCAAAGAAAATAATCATAAACTAAATTAATCACCCAATGTTTTCTCTTCCACAGTGAAGCATATGCTGAGAGGAAAGAAAGTGAGAAAATGATATGGTCATCGTACAACTAGAGGCTGGAAAAATTTGGACATGAAAGGTGTTGTACTCGGGTCTAGTCAGTGGATTTTTTGTCCTTCCACCTTCAGTTTTAACTGTTTACACCCTAACATCAGTATACAAGTTCTCCATACTGTACTATGTTCAATCCTTGTAGTACTTACAAGGAGAATTTGGCTGATGATCAAGAGGTCCTTGAGTTTGTGATCATCTCCTCAATTCTCATGACCTCAATGTTTGATTCAGGGACGATATTGTAAAGAGAAATTAGACGCTAGCCACTCTTGAGGGTTGAAGGGGTTTTACTCACACTCCAAAGACAAAGGAGAGATGTCGATCATTGTCTTAAATTAAGAAACATGATCATGCGACCATAGTAATTGTTTCACCCCTGTTTCACTAACCAATTCTTGGCCGACCATCAGCCAACTGTTGGCCGACTGTTGGCCATCTGTCAGCTAACTGCCGGCCAACCATCGGTTGACAGTCAACCAGCAGTTGGCCAACAGTATCTTTTGGGAACTGTTCTTCACTTTCACCCAGTGATAGAGGATCAGAGCAGAGAATCTGAAGATCTGGGTTTCAATACCTCATGGGAGACTCACAGTTTTTTTCTGTCTAATGCTTGTGAAAAATCAAATTGTATCTTTTTTTGAGTTAATACTTCTTTACAGAGTATCTTTATCTATCCCACACAAAAATTTATGATCATCTGGGAAAATTACAGCGGCAACAAAAGCTCAATTCAGGAAAAAAAATTATATCTAGTAAGTAAATGTAAAAGACTACTTTATTATCATGCCTACCTGGTTTTCTATTGGAAGAACACAGTCTGCAAACTCAGTTAGCTGATGCATGGCAAGGATGCTGAAAAGGGAAAAAGAAAATGACAAAATGATCAGCTGGTGAGAGTAAAACATTTTAATCCCAAGATCTCTTTAGCAATGTTCCTAACTATCTGCCATACAATTCTCAAGATGTTAGTTGGGGGAATTTGGTTAACTTATTATTACCTAACTGATATTTTTCTATGTTCTCATTCCTTGTCTGCTTGA